CTGATCTGACATATGTCAGTTCGGAATGGACATAGATTCCGATCTGACATAAATTCCTATCTGACATACAACAGTATTGTTACCCGGTCGGACACAGTAGATGCGCGATATCATCTTGACCCTCCAAATCGCAATGCTGAGCCTTTCTTTTTCCTTGTGTCGTCATCTCGTGTATATTTCTTGTTTAGTAGATCGTTTGCTGTAACGAAGTAAAGAAAAACTCTTCTTAGCTAACTTCCGAATTACTTCGCCTATTACCGAATTATTTTAACAGTATATAAGTCAGAAAGTATACTTTACAAATTTTTTTATCGCAATCTCTGGGAATCCGTATTCGTGGCTGGGAATTCATTTTTGTGGCTGCGAAACGTTATGCTAATATGTGATGTATGTGTGTAACACGCATTTCGATTATCCAATCAAATTAATGTTCGCTATGTTGGTCCCATACCTATCAGTCACGTGGAAAAAACGCGTGTGTAAATTTTAACGTTTTACTTTTTACTCAACATCAACGGTTACCAGAGTGATCAACGTAATTTGAATACGTTTGCCGACAACATGAACAACCCTGGCCACTCAGGTTAGCTTTTGTGAACACTGTGGTTCAATTTCTGCTTTGACCCTAAATCCTGATGAAAAAATTTTTAGCTCTTCCCATCGACGAACAGACGACCTCTGCCGCTTGGCCGTGCCCCCCTCCGATCAGCGTTTTCGTTCGCGACAATGCCGGCGCGACATGGCACGACTGGCTGAACATGCTGGATGCTCTGGAAGCCGGTCTCCAAGAAATGGACTACAAGGACGAGAATTGGAAAAAAACACAGGCTAATCTCAAGCGTGCACGTACGGTAAGGGATTATTACATTTTCAGTTGTTGCAGCAGTCTGCATGAGTCGCGTGAAAGCACTGTCGTGTCGACAGTGGGGGAATACTTGTTTCTTCCCTCACGGAAGGAGTGATGACTCCTGGCGGGGTAGTTCAATCCCTTGAAGGAATGAGTTGCACCCGTCCAGGCAGAGTGCCTCGTCATATCTGTCCGATCATGAGGTGCTGTAAATCACCTCTGGTCCGCTCAGCAGATTGGTTGTGGGGGAGGGGAATACTCGTTTCTTCCCTCACGGAAGGAGTGATGACTCCTGGCGGGGTAGTTCAATCCCTTGAAGGAATGAGTTGCACCCGTCCAGGCAGAGTGCCTCGTCATATCTGCCCATAGCATGTCCCCTATACGGCCGTTCTCAATATTACGAGTTCTCCATTTTAAAATGATCATATACTCATTCACCTTTTCGTCCTACACTTCTTATCCAAGTTGTATGATGTTTTCCAAGCGGAACTCGCGAAGAACGAAAAGGTAATGAGCATCTGCGTTTCCCGCTGAAACGGACCATTACTAACACATGTCTTCCTGGCCCGGTGGTGCATGGGATCTATGATTGATTACCTATTGTAGTGCATTGAGAAGATATTCTCAGCGCATGGCAGTATGGCCAATGCTCAAGACACAGGCTTCCAAGTGCAGCAAAATTTGGTCCAAAAGTTGTTGGGAAAAAGGAGTGCCAATGTCTTGGATGGCAACCGCGGTAGGAAGGATGGGTGCCAAGTGCGCCGACGAGTGACAGGCTCGCCGTCTCCTTTTTTCAATCCCAGAGATGAGGCAGAGGCAGAAGATGACTATGAGGAAGAGGTGGAGGAAGAGGATGATGAAACTCTTATCTCCATGCCATTGCTAGTGGATATACCATCCAACTATGAACTGGTGCCACCTGCCGGCTGCGTTCTCGCAGACGGTTTCGACTTTGCCAAGGTCTTCTTCAAATATCAACGGCATGCGCTGGCCTTGGCGAGGCAGCACAAGCTGCAGCTGGAGACCAACGTGCAGGAGATCCTTGCGCTGTCACACACGCTGCTCATCAAACCAATGCAGCATACCCAGGAGATGCTGCACTATTTCGAAGAAGAACGCCTGGATCACATCCGCGCGATCGGGCTGGAAACAGTGGGTTACCAGCCCCATCCTCTCTCGCAAGACCTCGAAGCCTTGATGCGAAGCGTCTCCAAGCAGGCTCGAGCATCGGGGAAATTTGACTGAGCCCTGCAGACTGAACTCCTAAAAAACATCATGGACAAAGAGCCGGAGTCGACGGACGCATTGCTCCTATATTTGTGGCTGGACGTTACGAGGAAGTTTCCCACCAAGCCGATGAACTTGGAACGAGAATCAGAGGAAGATATGGTAACCTCCTACCTGAGTCTTGTGATCAATCCCTTCGTCACATCCAGCAAGCAAACGCGCGCGGTTTGGCCCAACACCGCATCCACCATTGCACACAAGCAGAAGACAGTGGGGCGTGCACGTCAACCAGACTTCAAACTGGCCTATATGCAGCAATGCCGGGAAGTAGCTGAATGTGGTTATGGGGAGGTGAAACCGAATCTGAAGGTACAGTAACGTGCAAAAGTATCCTACCGGTTGTATCATCTAAACGTACATAATAATAACTCCTTAAATTTTCCA